AGATCTATAGGTGCAGCACCGAAGTTATTTTACACGTACAGGCCTGTGTAGTTGCTTTAATACCAGCTACAGAATTAGGAGTTGAACTATTTCAGAATTTTTCCTTAACACAGATAAAATACATTTCCAAGCTTGCACAGTCTACAGAGTATTTTGTTGAACCAAAGCAAGCAGCATAAGAATACCACAGCATCAGCAACAGATAGGATGTGACTAATATTCTGAGAAACTGAAATAATTATGCAAACTTTCTATTTACAGAAACATACAAGTTTTAAAACTTATTATCTACATAATCATAGGACAAACCAGATTTTCACAAACCTTATTCACATTCATGCCTTACTCAAACTGCAAAGAAAATAAACCTTCCCTTCCAAAAGCTGCTTTTCACAGTTACTCCATAAGACATTTTAAATAATACATTTTGTATCTTGTATATATGAAACACACATGCTCAATACCTTATGCCAGTGAACTTCAGCCTGATTATTGTCTTCATCCTTAAAATGTTCTAGATCAGGGCATATAATCTTTCCAGTATTTGAGCTCATCACTTTTTGTTCATATTTCATTTCTCCATTAAAACACAAACCATTATCGTTCTTAAAAACTGTTAAATTTATCGTTTTTTTGTTAGAGTGGTTAAGGCTCCTGCAATGAGAACAGCAGACAAGTCAGGTCATTAACAGCAAGGTTTCTTATTTCCAGCAAGTCAGGAAGAGGGCCTTCAGCATCTCCACCAGCCTTGCCTCTTTAACACTCCTGCTATATTCCCTGGCTTATAAACATCATCCTCAGCCTCTCAGCCCCTGTTCCAGATGAAGAGATGGGAATAAGCTCTGAGTTTGTGTTGTAAGCAGAAGTGGGGCTTGCTCTGGACACACCAGAGGGGATTCAGGACTTCTAAGAGCTGCAGTTAAGGTTTAAGTGACTGACGTGCCAAATGTTGCCTACAGTTAGTCTGACTGAATCTTAGCATGGTTTTTGTCCTGCTGATACCATGTAAGCCAAGGATGTGAGGCACCCATAGGAACACATCTCATAGCTCCAGGAACTACAACCATAGAAGAAAAGACTAAATTAAAATTATGCAGCTGGGTAGCTTTGAAAGGATTACATGTCTTTTGACTTCCAATTTTGGTTTCATGGTAAACTCCAGGGAAGGAATGTCCCTGCAACATTGGAAGTTTCTGCTGATCATTGTTACTACCTTCACAATCCAAATCTCTCCAGGAGAACAGTTTTATTCAGCACACACCAGTACACACAATTACACACTACAAAAACAAATTTAGAGTCACCTGAAAAGCCTGTATTGTCTGTTCTCAGTGTGCTGTGGCAACATGAGGAAAGGAACATTTTGTGTCTATCTTTCGAAAATTAATTTCCTGTTCAGCACACAGTGAATTTCAACAACCATTGTAAAAAAGTAATGAAGTCCAATGCACTAATCTCAGCTGTTCATCTAGTAAGAGCTTTAAAGTATTAAAAGGGTTAGATATAGATGCTTTCCAAAGAATCTATTAATTTTTAGTTCTCTGTACACTCAGATCTTTTGAGTAGTACTAGAGACACATTATTTTCACTGTCTCTAAAGCTGCCTAGCACCCTGCTTTGCTCTTTATATGCATTCACATTTTTGACCAGTAACTTTTGGTAGTATTTTAAATCATATAAACTATTTTCTGCCTTTTAACTTGCAGATTCCTAGTAAGATTTCCAAAAAGTTGCTAAGCTATCCAGAAAGTCTGAGCGTGGTGACAAAATGCAGAATCAGCTCCTCTTAGAACCTTCACGTATTTATCCTTGTCCTATGAAGAAACCAAAGGGTTCTTCTGATCTGTCACTATCAAAGAGCAATTTGAACACAAGAGAAGCCAAAGAAGTTAAGACATTTTCCTGTGACCTTACACTTCATGGAAAACTAACAAAGCAAACAACAACCCCCACAGACCATTGTTAGTATCATGATGCTTTAAGATAAAGAGAGTCTTCTATATGAACCACTTTTGCAGTGCTAAATGTGTGGAATAAAAGAGAAACATAGGCATCATGCAGAAACATGCAGAACCAAAAAGCATGGTTAAAACAGTGCTTTTAACTGATCTAAGCATTCTGTCTAAAACAAGAAGTTTTGTATGCTCAAGTTCCACAAATATATTAATTATCTTTGCATGCACTAGCAATCCAGTTGTTTTCTTCCTTCCTTACCTTAAACTGCATTCATAAAGTCCAGAATCTTCCAGCATTGCAGGAATAAACCAAAGCAAGCCCTCTCGCTGGTGGATCCTGGCATCTCTCTCTGTGGTCACTGGTATAGCACTACCATTTTTATACCATGTCAGATTGTAATCAGAGTGAAGCACTGGCAGTGTAATTATTGGGCAAGTAATAGCTGTAGGCTCTCCAACAAGCACAAAGTAATCACAGATAACACATCTTTCTGTTAAAAAAAATGAAAAATATGAAAAAAATTATCAATGCTTTTAATTTGTTAATTAAAATTTAATTTGTTTGCTTTTATGTTTTAGAAGTATTATTACCAAGTTGCACAGAATCAGAAAAACTTTCTTGAACAATCTACCATCAAAACAATACAAGGCTAAAATTTTTTGTTTGTTATCACCTTCTGSTCAAGAATATAAACATACATTTTACAAGCTTAAGCCACAACTTCCCTCTGTTAAGGCAGTTAGCAACAAGCACATGCAAGTCAAACAGCCTCATTGCAAATCTGAGAATAAGAAAGACCCGTGGGATCCACCAGGCAACTCCAAGCTTCCCAACTCACCTATCATGTCCTTGTTATTTAACCATGCTAGTACTTTTGCAGAATTGCCAGATTCTTAAAGTAAATACCATGTATGTAAAGCACAGGGCAAACAGTAGCAGTGCTGAGCTCTTGTCAGTACTCTGCCACTATGAATGTAAAGCCAAAAACAAATTGGGGGTGGAAAAGGAAAAACATTTCCCAACATGAAGCACAAGACAGTATGGAATGAGATCAAGACCTCAATACATCAAAGGGTCTGTAAATCAATATGTCACAATACTAAAAATTTTGGAAAGAAACAATATTTAGAATAAGAAGTCTTGACTATAATGTATTATTTACTTCCTACGTTTGCACCTTTAACCAGAAGGCCCATTATTATGAACATCACAGAAAAGACCAACATAAACATAATTATGACTGTGTAACAAGTTGACAGGACACAATCATGCAGCCTAGCAAGCATTTCTTTAAAAATCAGCCAAAAAATATCAGAGAAAGAGGGAAAGATACTGCAAAAAGTTATCAAGAACCCAAATCCGCAAACAAAAACTTACTGAACAGAGGAGTTAACACTTCAACACAAAACAGAGGTGACCATTTAAGGTATAAAGCAGACTGTAAAACTTTCAAACTTTGGCACACATTTCTCCAGAGAAGCTGTAGATGCCCCACCCCTGGAAGTGTTCAAGGCCAGGCTGAATGGAGCTCTGAGGAGCCTGGTCTAGTGAAAGGTATCCTTGCCCACCGCAGGGAGGTTGGACTGGATGATCTTTAGGACCTTTCCAACCCAAACCATTCCATAATTCTATGTGCAACACTGAATTTCTATGAAACTGCAAAACATCTGGCTGAACCGATTTTACAAACCTTGCTGAATGACTGTGCAAAGTTAACATATTCAATTTCAAAGTAGAAAAGTTTTCCATTATCTTTCTAGTATCACTATCTTCCTATTTAAAGACTTCCAAGCAGGTCTCCATATAGCTCAATCTAATCCAGAGACATTAATATTAAACTCCTTATGCCAAGACTAGCAAGACAAGCATCAATATTTTAAGGAGTTCTAAACTCTACTGAATGACTAGATCTATCATTAAAAATATGACTAATTAATTGTAAAGGAAACTCAGCCCTACTGCTTTCAGGACTAGAAACAGAGAATGTCTCTTTAAGAAGGCACTCTACAGCTAACCTAATGTCAAGGAAGCCAATCACTTTGGGCTCTCTTCGTAAGAAACAGGGAGAGGCTAACCAAAGCCCCCATGACTTAAAATTTATGTGCCTAGATTTTAAAAAAAATATCTCCATTTGTCCATGTCATCCCTAGTACAATTTGAATCCCAACTGAGGAATTCAGCTATCATCAATATACTAAAGCCAAAATAAATCCCAAACCAATTACTTGTTCTCAGTAACTCTTTCCAAGTAAATACATACATCTCTTAACATTTTCTTTTTTAAAATGGTAATTTAAACAAGGTATTTAACCTACCAGCACTGAATAGAGGCATCAATACAATGAAATGACCAATGAGCAAAAATACAGTTGTCATATTTTGCTTCAAACCAGAAGTTTTTTCCATTGGTGTGGGAAGTCTGTTCAAGCTGCACTGGCCTCTGCACCCTGCATTACTTTAAAAAAAAAAAAAAAAAAAAAAAAAAAAAAAAAAAAAAAAAAAAAAACAAACCAAAACAAAAACTACCCTCAAGCACAAAGTATGCTAGCCCAGTGATTTAAGCTATACTGTATGATTTAAATCCAAGCTTGATTAAGCTACCCTTCTTTCCACATGCTTACAAAAGACACAATCAAGATATGGACGAGGTTTCCCTCTTTGAACTTTTGTTATACAGATGAGGCAGCAGTGCTTTTAAGAGCAGTAACTTGTAGTTCTTTGCAGAAGGACAAGCACACTTTAACTCCAGCGTCATCTGCTACCTTAAATTGGCATCTAAATTCAAATGTGTGTGGAAACCACAGTTAATATGAATTGCTGTGGTCAGACACAAAACAAAGCGTCCAAGAATCATAGTTTCACTTCACACCTCAGGTCTTACTTTCAGTTTTCTCCAACAAAGACATGATTGAACACACACCCACTGCCCTCATGGCCCGCAAGTGGCTTCTATGAAACKCTAAATCTTAACCAGGTCCTGCTCCCCTCTCAGACGTACCAGCATTTTTTGGTAAGGTGTCATGAGAGATGTACCCAAGCCTTCTATTGTCAACCAGCTGGCAAGCACTTAAATCCTTCCCCTTCTGACAGCTCACTGTAGACCAAGGTGTGCATTAAGCTGCTTTGCCTTTCCTCAGCTTTTGATGGCTGCCTCTCACTCTAAAGCAAGCTGGTTTCACATGCAGCATCCATTGCAAAACATTCATTGCACAGGTCCTAGTTAATATTTGCCTTCTACCCAGCTACAAATGGCAGGTAGAAGATAAGGCATGCCCAGAAAAAGAGCCTTGACTTACCTTTATATTCAATGTAATTCACTTCAGTCACAAATAAGCCACASCAGCTMCTTCTTTTGAAGCATTTCATATGCAGAAGTRCTGGATATCAGGGAGGGTCATACARTGCAGAGTTCAATAATTTAATGTAACAGCCTAAAAGTATGTACTTCTTTTGGACAGTTTATCTGACAAAACTTTCATATCACAGTCCTTATTTAGTTGCCTTGCATGTGCTTTTCCTGTAACTTGCTAATGAAGAGGTCATCATTTTTGGAGTTTCAGTTTACCTGCAAAAAGCAGAGAAAGGGAAAAAAGATTTTACAAAACATTATTGGGACAGCAGCATACACACACAAACCCAAATTTTCTGCAGACATCCTAAATGTAAAAGCAAGAGCATCCCCCTGCCTACACTAGAGAGATGACTTAAAAGAGCAACAACAAAACTTGCAGTAGAGACTGACCAAGAATTCTAGCAAAGATCTTTGGGAAACGAAGTTTCTGTCAAAAACAATGTTACACATGTGTCATGCAACTTCGTAGGACCAATTCAACAATTACAAGCAAACAAAGAATACTTAAATTTAGGGCAAGATAATAAGCACCCTCTAGACGCTGGTTATCCTCTGGGGTATTCTGACACTGACACGATGACCACAAACATTAGTCCTTATGACTCCTTTCCAGACAATCTTGCAAGCCACAGAACCACAGAAAAGTTGTATCTTTAAGAAAAACATATTATCCAGGACGTTCTGTTGAAGCTACATCAAAATGCAGCCAAAGAGTTTTCACTAAGAAGCCTGCAATAGTTAAGTGTCTGCAAGCTAAATTCCAGTTCAACTTGGAGACAGTATTAACTATTCCAAATCTGAATTTGAAGAAAGTGCACTTTCTTTAGATTCAGGTAACTGCCCCGACTTTTTACCAAAGAACAGGAGGAAGGAGASAAAAATAGTATCTRTAGCTGTACATRGCTGGCCACCACTGRTTRACTCTACAACAGTTAAGTGCTATCTATTCATCCTCTTCAACACCAAACTGAAGGCAATGACAGTATCCAATTACAGTGAAAAGAGCAGATCTTATCAATATTCAAATAAATAAAAAACAGTACCTTCCTTCAGTATCAAGTGGAAGCAGTTAATTTCACAGTTCACGCTTTGAATACTTTTCCATGTCATTTCAACTCCTGATACCTGTCAATATAAAGTAATAGGAATTTTAATGTAGCACATTTTTATTCAAATCCAAATTAAGTTATTAATTTTCCAGTATCATTTTCAAAGTACTGTTAAGAGGCATTTAAAAGAACCTGAATGGTTCATGCAGATTAAAATTGTATTTATCAAAAATAGCAACATAAAGTATTTAAAAAATAATGTATTAATCTCAGAAGGAGAGAGGAAATCAGGAATATTGTTTACCAAAAAAAGTAACAGGCGTTTCTCATTTAAGGATTGATTTAAAATATCTGAATTAAAATATCTGAATTAAGGAAACTGCATTCTAAAGTAACTTCTGTGCAAGACGTTTTAGCCTGTTTTTTGAGGATCTAAGCACTAACAAATAGTCCAAGTCAAATAAGTGCACTGTGCTGAATTTCTGAAGAAGAAAAACAAAACACATCCAGCAGCTTGCTTGAGTCCCTGAAGAAAATCTCTACAAATTTAATAGCTGCTGTTGGAAACAAACCAGATCCTCGATTCAGCTCGGCTGCTTTTAATGGATAGCTCCCAAGCTGCGGCTCCTCAAGGTGCTGCCAAGCACCATCAAGCTGTGACCAGCACAGGTCTGGGACTGTCACAGTAGCAGCTCCTCCCTGGGTTTCATACAGGCATCTCTTTCACCGAAAACCTTGCTCTTGTCATATTAACAGTTAAAACAGAGCTCCCATCTGATCATCGTTTTGCAATAAACAAATACAGAAATAGTTTTTGCTGGTTTTATACCAGGTCAAGAAGATTTACGCCAAGCATTATCCCGCTTCCTGTGACACGCACTTCAAAAAATGTGGCAGCGTTAGCACTTCTACAACTTTCATTTGTACATCGTACTTCCTACCTGGACTTGAACAATGCAATACACAACGAGGAAGCAGACACAAAGGCAAAATAATAAATTACTTCCAAGGAAGCTATTTGGGGACATAAAAGCTGAGAAATCAGCAGCCACACAGATAGGGAGACTGTGCCAACACACCCCACAGCAACACACGCGGCCTCAAAAAACGGCTGAAAGTAACAAACCCAGGGGCCCGGTGCTGGTTTTCTGGAAGCTGTCAGCACTGCAGCCTTACCTGGCGCGGGCAGCCCTGCGGGCACCGGCCCGGGGGATCCCCGCTCCCCACGCTGCCAAGGAAGGGACACGGGCCACGGGAAAGGACAGGGACAGCGGGGAAGGAAAAGCCCAGCTACCCCCACATCTGCCCCGCCGCAGCCCCCGCCCCGCGCCCTCCCCGGCACCACGGCGGCACTGGAAGCCGAGCCGAGCCAAACCAAGACAGACGAGCCGAACCAAAACGAGCCGAACCAAGGCGAACCCAGCCCAGCTCCCATGAGGGAGCGACACACTACCCCAATGCCGCCCACCGCCCTTCCTCACCTTCGTCCGCTCCCCACCGGCCACCCAGGCCCGCTCCACATTGCGGGCCCAGCGGGCAGCTCGCCCCGCCTCGCCCGGGAGCCACGGCCGCGGACACCGCCCCCGGACCGCCCCGGCCCTGCCCCGGACTGCCCCTTGACCGCCCCCGGCCCTGCCCCGGACCGCCGCGGCCCTGCCCCGGACCGTCCCCGGACCGCCCCCGAATCGCACTGGGACCGCCCCGGTTCGCTGCCGAACCGCACTTAGACCGCCCCCGGCTCGCCTCGGTCCTGCTCCGGACCGCCTGTCCAGGCCCAGTGAACTTGGGCGGCGTGCAGCTGCTGGCCCAGGGCGAGCTGGTCCTCGCGGTGACTCGTGTGTAAACTCCTGCGGGGCATCTTCCCGCGGCTTGGGTTAAGCCCTTTTTCTCGGGCATCAGCCCATTTCCTTTGGCCGTCACGCCTGGCTTTAGTTCCCCTTCAAGCTGTGATTCCCTGGGCGGCCGAGCTGACTTCAGCGTAGTTTTTCTCAGGCTGCCCTCGGGGCTCATGGCGAGCTTTGGCTGGGCTGACCTTGGAAAGAAAGGATGAGAGCCCTGTGGCCAGCTCGGCGCCCGGCATTGCTGCAGAGCAGAGCCGATGCCCATTTGGCAGCCTGGTGGGAGCGGAGACATTTCACAGCTTCAAATACAGAGATTGTACCTGCATCCAGGGCATGCCGCATGCAACCCTGCCTGCCCTGGGAAACTGTCACAGAGCAGAAACCAGTACCATGGCAAATCCATCACCCCACCCATAAAGTGAGTGCAGGGACTCTCATTTCTATCTGGCATCTACCAGTGCAGGCAATGTGTTCGCTGCCACCATTCCTGTGTTACATCACCTGAAGCTGCTCGTCCTCTCTGTTTTGAGCAGAGCTCTATTTGCTCTCCACCATGTAAGTCAGACTTGGAAGTGAATGCTCTTTAAGGTGYCAACCCCAACCATTCTTTGATTCTRTGATCCTAAGYGTTTACGTTTTTTCTGGTTTGATCAGCTATCCCTTCTACTGTGCCASGATAACACTATTTTAGTACAAACAATAGTTTCTTCCTTTCAGATTTGTATAGAAACTCAATACAGTTCTCACTGTTTAGTCTGATGGTAAGACTAGACTTGTTCAAACAGAAATCGAGTTTTCTAGGGTGAAGTTTCCCTGGAATTGTTTCCTTGTCCATCATTTTCACTTGAGAACCTTAATCCCCTATGCTGGCCTTCACATCCTTCTTTTTGTTTCCCATAAGCTTACTTCTATTCACTCCTCAAATAGGAATATTTACTGTACTGTATTTACTGTAGGGTATTCAGTGATTGCTTATGCCCATCTCTGCTTTTATTCATTCATTCAAGAACCACATTCATTAACTTTATTTGCATTCTGGTTGAAGTAAACATACATTTTAATAGGAATAATAAAAATRTAATGTAAGAAGCTTCATCTTGAGGTTTGAACAATTTCCAAATTGGTGTGAAGGGACTCTCAACTTGATTAAAGTTTTGGAAAAATGTGGGAAAGGCAGGTTTTAGCTTCTCAAATGGTAGATGAGAACTCTGATCCAGATTCAGAGACCCARTACTTTTTTCCAAGTGGCAAGCTTGGACTTTTTTGTGGTATTTGTATAAATAATCTCATAATATAATTAATCTCATATATTAATTAATCTCATAATATAATATAATTATTCTCATATTGGTTTCTTCCATATTTGCAGTATCAGGATGAAGAGCTGTCTTGAGCCATGGAGCAGTGAAATGTTTACCAGCTTATGTGATAAAGTAAATGGAGAGCAAACCCTTCATGAACTAGATGAGTAAATGTCTATTGCTGTTGTGTGTTTATAAGCCTTTGCAAACTCTCTATTTTAGTTGCACAAAATACTTACCTGCTTTTGCCTTCACTGGTTCTGAGTCAAGGTTGATGTTAAGGTGACTGACTAGATTGGGGAAACTTCATAGGCCATAGCAGCCTTAAGAATAAAGATTTTTCTAAGTGTTTATCTGCCCACTACTTTTCTCCACAATACCTAAAGGATAACAGCAATACTTCAAATTAAGCTGCACAAAGTTTGCAAGTTGGCGACCTGGAGGAGTCAGAGAAAGAAGTGTCTCATGTTAGCCAACAATGATCAGGAAAGCTCTCCACCAGGTAGCTAGAGAACAGGGAGYATTCCAGAGACCCAGCAGTCTCAAGGAAGCATAATAACTTATTAGTGGATGTATAGAATACTTGCTAAAATGGTAATTTGTAGAATGTGGCACACATCACTATATCTATATTCTGATATGTGTCATGATCACACTTTTAAAGTACTCTCTGACACTCATTTTAGAGAAATTAATCACTAAGAACTGAAAGTACACTTTTGAAAGAACACACGCAACAGTCAACACTGCCAAATTGTGATTCAGGAGCAAAGTATGCATTTTTCGCAGAGCAGAGGATCTTTCCTAGACTTTGCTAAGATTTATGTGAATGAATYGATCATGAAACATTAGTAAGAATCCAGTCAGAAAGTGGTAATTTTGCAATTTTCTGTTCTTCCACTGTAGAGCTGTTTTCCTGAGTGAGTTTTACGACCCAACCTGTTACCTCAATTATGCATTCATACATAATTGTGAGAAACCTGTCATTGTGTCCAACTGCAGGCCTCTGAAGCATGTTTCTGGTCTCAGACCTCTGGACCAATGTCTCAAGACTTCATTGTTGAGAAATCAGTCAGCACCAAGAAGCCAGACAGAGGTTTGTGTCCTTTAGTACACAGGAGTAAGTGTCCAGGGTGAATGTCAGAACAGCATAGTAAGATATTCCAGATGGCCCTGAAAGGTGCARTTCCTCTCCCAACACATCAATCACTGATGTTGTAAGCAGTGACTCTGTCACAGGAGTTAATTCAAAGACTTTTTGGTAATTTCACCAAAGCTCTCCACAGGGTTCTTTTGACTTGTAGTTTAATATAGGTTCATGTGCAAGGCTAGCAATACAAACTTATGTCAAAAAGACTGTCTATACTTGATTAAATCTTGCTACAACTTGCTGCATCACCAAAACCTACAAATCATTGAAAACACAAACCAGTTCTGAGTCACCTACAGTCTGAACACACCTATTTTAGGACAACAACAAAGGTCTTGGCCACCAAGATCCTCATTCCAGAAAATCCTAAATCTGGGGGTGGTTGATTTTCTTATCACCCAAGTTCAGAGTCCAAATCAAAACTGGCTACTTATCCTACTAAATCCCATCCATTAATGCCCTCTTCTATGAAGCTATCTCTTCTTACACAGGACAAGGTAGCAACAGAAGYGCAAGGACAGACACATCACATTGCACTCTTAACAGTGCTTTTGGTATTACTCCTGGCAAGGCATGTCAGACCTATTTTGAACACATGTCACTAACCTAAACCAGGTTCTCATGTATTGAGGTTTGTTCAGTCACACTTTCCACACAAAAGAGAGATAGAGTTAATATTTGATCAGGTGCATCCATCTGCACTTAGAGCAAACTTATATTGCATAGAGGAGTGGATCTCAAATTGACATTTTAAGTAAGTGAAAAGCATGAACATATCAATTCTCTCAAGAGATAGCTTTTGCAATTACAATCTGGTTTAAAATAAAAAYCAATTTAATCAGTTTAATTTTTCTTTTTTAAAAGGGCTTGAAAATCCCTAGTTCTACATCACAATCACTTCTTCACACATTTCCAAGTGTACCTCTGCTTAAGCAGAGGAGGTCATGACAGCTATGTGACTGTCACTGCAACACTYAACCAGGAATGTATGCTAGCAGCASCTTTCTCCTCCTTCGMCACCCAAGCTCACTRTGGATTTCTTTGCAGAATGCTTCTCTTCCATCATTTCTGTGACTCTTTTCCATGCCTCATAAGAACAATTGTTGGGGACTTTTCCTTTTTGCCTTCAGCACTCAGAAGCTCTATAATTTTGTTAATTTCCACTGTGACTAAGCTGGCCCAAGTCTTCACCACATTACTGCTTCAATAAATCAGCCATCCTTGTATTACTGACATTACCTGAACTGTTCTGGTTTTAGCCAAAGCAGTTCTCAAGGCAGATCCTGGAATGGCTTCAAGGTTGTTGGTCTCCTTAGAACTTCCTTGAGGTGGAGACACTGTGTTGGCACTAACAATAAGTGTCAGAGCCAAAGCAAGTAATGCCTTCACTAGCCAGTAGTTGAGTCATGGAAATGAAAATCAAGTTTCACAACTTTGTATCTCTGCCCAACACACATCCACCTCAAGATCTTATCCTGTTTTGTGGGTTAGAGCTCTTAGAGTCAGCAGAAGGGCAGCTGAAAAGGCTGTAATTAATTTGCAGTGAAGTCTGTAAGATGGATGCAGTGGTTTATCTCACGTATATATACATACATACATATATATATATATATATATATATATATGTAGTGAGTTTAAAATGTCCTGCTGTTATCATGGAGCAGCTCTTTAACTTCAGCTTCTCCAATTTGCTCATTAGTTTATACAATATATGCTCAGAAATTATTCTCAAATGTTGTACAATAAGGGCCAACATGCAGAAAAGAAACTCAGAACTGTRAGCAAAGGACTTCTAGATTTAGCCTTCTCACCCAGCAAGAAAGGTACAGCACATAATAAACTCTGGACAAACTGTGCAATGGCTGCATGTCTCTCATCAGGTTACCCCATGTCTTGCTACAATACCACTAAAATTCATAGAATCATAAAATTGTTTGGATTGGATTGGAAGAGACCTTAAAGATAATCCAGCTCCAACCCCAAAGCCATGGGYAGGGACACCTTCCACTRGACCAGGTTCCCCATAGCCCCATCCAGCCTGGCCTTGAACACTTCAAGGGATGGGACATCCTCAGCTTCCCTAGACAACAGTCAAGGATTTTTTCCTGATATCTAATCTAAACCTACTTGCTTTCAGTTTGAATCCATTCCCCCTGTCATTATATGAACAAAAGCAACAAATAAACTGGAATAACAAAATGGCCCAAGGAAACCCATACAAGACTATTCTTCTTTAAATTGCTAGAGGAGCACAAAAAAGATATGCACAATTA